TTACCGACAAAACGAGCCACCAATTACCAACAAATATAAAAATGCCAATGTCCAAATGCCTACAATTTTAACCCCATAAACCCGGGGCCAGGAACTAATTAATTTTTTCAGTTCCCCCCCCCCTCCCGCGCGAAGCGCGTAAGCTTTGACACTTCATTATATTATTAGAGATAGAAGACGATCCGTTGTACCGTTCTTGACTCTTAATTCATGGTTCGCCCCTCCTGCGCAAAGCGTGGAAGCTATGACGTTTCATTTAATAATTAGAGAAAGAAGACGATTCATTGTTCCAACCCCGACTCTTAATCCTTGTCTGAATTCAGTTCCCCCCCCCCCTCCCGCGCGAAGCGCATAAGCTTTGACGTTTCAATAAATTATTACTCTTAATCCTTGTCTGAATTCATTTTCGTCCATCCCGCGCGAAGCGCTGAAGCTTTCACGTTTCATTTAATTATTAGAGCAAGAAGACGATCCGTTGTACCGGTCTCGACTCTTAATCCTTGTCTGAAATCAGTCCCCCTCCCGCGCGAAATGCGGAAACTTTGTCTTTCAATAAATTATTACTCTTAACCCTTGTCTGAATTCATTTTCGCCCATCCTGCGCGAAGCGCGGAAGCTATCACGTTTCATTAAATTTATAGAGAAAGAAGACGATTCATTTTATCGTGTATTTGTCTGAATTCAGTTTTCCCCCTCCCACGCGAAGCGCGGAAGCTTTGTCGTTTTATTTAATTATTACTCTTAATCCTTGTCTGAAATCATTTTCGCGTTTCATCAAAACCGTTCTCGACTCTTAATCCTAGTCTGAATTCAATTCCCCCCCCCCCCCTCCCGTGCAAAGCGCGGAAGACGATTCGTTGTACCGTTAGTACTCTTAATCTTGTCTGAATTCAATTTCCCCCACTATATGTGCAGTGTTACATGATGTAAGTATGGAACGCTCGTTCGCAAATCTGTGCATGCTCAGCCCGAGTGGTAGGTAGCATGTTATCTCCCGGCAGTGCTTTGCACAAAGCTTCTGGAAAGGATTTTTTTACCAGTGTTACTGTTGGTGGCCACTATAAGGCCCTTAGTGACAATAAAAACATAAGCTCTTCCTGGCTTTTTTGGGGAATGGGTCAGTTTGCAAGAATTAATGGAAAAACTAGCATTTTGTCGAAAATCATGTGATATCACGAACATATACATCACTTGTGAAAAAAAGTCGTGGTTCAATTTTATTTGGGGGGGCTGAAGCCCCCCCAAGCACCCCCACCAGTACGCCAGTGCATCTTAACACTTCTTGATGTAAAGTATTACCTCCCCAATCATTCCTGGCCAATAGCATCTGTCACTCAGTTCCTGCACTGTTTTGTCCACTCCTTGGTGCCCCCATCTGACATGAGTAGAATGGTTTCTCTCAACACTTGGGGTACTAACAGATGTCGTACCTTGCCAATAATAACATCTATCTCTCTATACAAGACACCTTGATATAATCGATACCGTGTCAACTTCTAACTTCGCTGAGCTTAAATTTGCCAAAGGGTTGATACCTGTCAACACAGTGCAATGAGCTCCCATGAGATAGGGTGCAAACTTTTCTGTCACAGTCCATTTAAGGGCAAGCAGTTCAAGTTTGAAACTGCTCAAGTCTGTAAAGTTCTTCCCTGCGTATGCAATAGGATGGAGTCGACCATCATCTCCTCTCTGAAGTAAGCATGTCCTTAAGCCTTTCATGGAAGCATCCGTCTCCAAGATGAAGTCCTTGTCAAACTTGGGGTAGGTAAGCACTGGGGCACTAGTAAGTTGCATCTTCTTGTTCTTGTCCTCACTCAAACTCTGTCTTGCTGCTATTTCCTTTCAGGGTAACATTATGCAGAGGACCAGCCATGTAAGAGAATCCTTCCATAAAACGACGATAATAGGATGCTAATCCTAAGAATGAGCTACCTTCCTTGCCATTCTTGGTTCGTGGCCAATCCTGAACTTTATTCACCTTTTTAGGATCTACCCTGACTCCTTCACTTGTTACTAAATGTCCAAGGCACTCACTTGACTTCTTGGCGGAAGAATTCACATTTCTTGCAGTTCACCTTGAGTCCGTTTTATTCTTAAACGATGCCTTAAAGGTATCGTTATATCTAAGATGTACGGCCCTACGTGTTATCAGTGTCTGTGTTATGGTGTAATATTCCTAAAAAATAATCGCTTCAAAATGATCAAGAAGTGCCTCAAAAAAGTAAAAATCTTTGAGTGACCGGTTTACCACACTCGTTTTCCCTAATCAAATGTAGTGTTATGAATACCGTTAGGAAACCGCAAAATTTGGTTTCGATTTCCAATCATAAATATCTTGATAATCAGACAGGCGATCGGCTTGTAAACTCATGGGGTTTCCTGACTGACCTAAAGGTTTATATTTATCATTGCAGCATGAGCTAAATCCAGGCTTTTATTTCAGAATCTGAGACAAAGCTACTGGATCCCTTTAAAGGAAAACAACTTACTTCAATCTTCCAAAGGTAAACTCAGGTGTAAACTGACACTATAGGCGTTCCCAGCTAAATACACAGCCCGTCACACGCACGACATCATCAGCCCATGACAAGATGCAATGTGTGTCTTACGTTCACTGCTATGCCAGGCAGATTTCCGCGCCCACACACCTATCAAAATACTATTAACAAAATATCCTTTCTCTTCTTGCTATTCTTCTACAAGCACCTTCTGAATAAAGTAAAATTTACTTATGACACATTTATGCAATCTTGCAACAATTCTTCCTCAAAATTACAAAACAAACTTTTAAATCTTTCACCGTCATTTTAGCGGCAGTTTTATGCAAATTTTCCAAAGTCATTTGCATAAGAAAAAGATACGTACAAATCCAAATTCCTTCAGTGACATCAACAACCACAAGAAGTGACTGCGTTTCCTGAGCTGGCGCGGCTTTAACTTTGCCCACAGTGTAGGCTTCACTTTAGAATCTTGTTAGATCTAGGCTATAGGCTATAATTATAGTCTACACGTAGATCTAACATCATTTATACCCACATCTTAAGTGAATCATGTACCTTGAATTTGGATATGTACATGTACATTCTAATTTAAAATGACTAAATAAATGCCTGTTTAGGAAGATTAATGTGGAAGTTTACCAATGGCAATGTCGATTTGTAAAGAGTAGGCTGGGGGGGGGGGGGAGGCACAACCCTTTTGTGCCCCTTTTTTTCTTCAGATGTGGCTTTGTCAGTAGCATATACCTAGTCACCTACTTATGGGCAATTATAACTTGTGTTCAATATGCCATGGCAAAGATTACCATAGCCATAGGTCTAGATTCGTTTTTGCTCCACAAGTGGGGCATTTTATAATCCATGTCAAGATTTAGCTTAGTTAGGATATAGGCTAGATCTGCCAACAACAACAAAAACAAAACAAAAAAGGTGTCTCTTCCGACTCCTAGCTTCCTAATCTTACCCCCCCCCCCTTTAAGTCTAAGTTATGACACTTTGGAATATTTAGAAGAAAAAGACATGTTTAGAGAGAAAAAAGGTTTATATTATTTGCGTATTTAATACTAATGTCTTAATGTTTACTTTGTTTAATGTAAATTATCAGGACTATATGCTACCCCTTTTTGTGTTTTGTTGTTGAGAATTCTGAATCCAACCCTACATATCCATGGGTATTTCTAACTCTAAAGGACATGAACAAAATTATAAACTGATAACTGATACATGCATTTGATACTTACTTTAACCTTACTAAGTTTCTATTGTCATTCAATATTTATTGTAGATTCTATGGAACCAAGAAGCAGATAATGACTACAGAAGTGCAACAGAGAGTATCAGGACCCGATCATCATATGTTATGGTGTAGATCTAATCAGGAACACCCAAGTTGAAACTCTGGTAAGGTATATTTGTATGAAGTTTGAAAATAATCAGGCTGTATGGCCCATGAGAACTGCACTCATCATGAACATATTACCAATATTTTGGGGAACTGTTATCTCATGTTGCGTTATATCTTATAATTCTCATTTATTCTCGAGCTTTATTTGGGTGAAAAACTACGGTGTTGCTAAATAAACAATCCAATATATTCACTCAGCATGATATTGAAAGACTTACTAAAAGGCATTATTTTGTGTTCAATATTAAATGATATCTATCAAACTTTTTTTTCACAAAATTTAGGAACAGAACAGTAGATAGACCTATGTTTATAAACAACTTATAATAAATAGACTTCTAACGACACATGTACTGCCTCTTATTGCATGTAGCAAATGTTTAACAATAATAATAAGTTAAGAAAACTAATTTTGACAGTTACTTGTAAAAAAAATTGGAAATAAATATAAACCGTTACTCTACCCTTCAAAAAAGGCCTTATCATATAGACATAGACAAGAATGATGGCATGACCCTCCAGTTGCACCGAGCCAGAAGCGACATAGACAAGGTGGTATTTGCCCAACGCTCTGTCCCAAAGTTAATGGAACTGACTTCCAGCAAATGTAGTGCATGCTGGCAGTCCAGAGAACTGCCAGGGACTACTCCTAAGGCAACTAATGCCCTTATCCCACTAAAATATCATCTTCCTCACACCACTTGTAGTCTTTAGTTCATCCTCGTGATAGGCTACATAGTCCTTTGAAGATTACCAGAAGAAGGAGAAGAAAAGAAGATATATCGGGGATCATGAAAGTATTTATTTGTTCTTTTAAACGCATGTATATGTAACATAGCGTTTTGATATTTAATCTTAAGCCAAGTTCTGACAAATAAATTAGGGATGCTAAAAATGGCTAAATTGAAGGGGGTGGGGATAAAATTATACAGGAGTGGTACAATAGTAGTACTGTAATAGTATTGGGTAATAATGATAATAATAACAATAATAATAGCAGTAAAACTAATGTCAATGATCATTATAATAGCAGTAATAATAATAATAGTAACGATTATAGTAGTGATAACAACATCAATAATGTCCAATATAAAACAAAAACACCCTGCATAACGGCTGAAGAAACTTGAGCGCTCATATCTCTTCAAATACTAGTATTAGAAATTTAGATATCAATCGCAGAAATATCGGTGATCGGTGGAAAAAGTGGATTCCGGAATTTACTATACCACTCCGAATTGTAAATTTTCTCACCCTCTCAAATTTATAGTGAAACTATACCTTTTTCGTGCTCTGTACAATCGCAATGCAAAAAACTATACACGAGGGATATAATTAAAAATATATGGTCCAGAATACTGTACTAATGCTGTGTCATGGTTTTCGATGTCAGAGAATATAATACCAGTGATCTTTCACAAATTTGATGTTAACATCACCTCTGAAGGACGTCCTAAAACTTACTTTAGCATCTGATTCTACAGGAGACATACATATAGCTCCTCCTTCGATGAAGGAGAGTCCGTACTCTTCAGGTTCCTATATATACATCCTGAGAAAGTGGAGGCACCACTAAAGAAGCTATATAATGACCGCAATCCTGATGCTATGGCTCCCCGCCTCGACATACATACTAGTTCCCATAGCTGGTATTATATTGATCAGGCACCACCGAACCGTTTATAGTTGTGGTATTCTCAAACTGTCGCAGAAGCCAGAATAGCCTCAAAATCCCCTCTCAACCCCCATACATATTGTTCTAGTGACTACACTGACCAAAACTAGACACAGGAGCATGGTGCCATGTGATCTGTGGACAAAGTCAAAGCTATGGCAGAAGATAAGCATGGCAACAATGTTACACTGCAAACAAAAATTAGGTGACCTCTATTTCATTTAGCAGGGATAAAATTCACCCATTCGGCAAATGCTCATTGTTATGTGATTTAAATATGAATCCCATAACATTGTACTTCAAATAGTAAAAGGCAATAAATTCGCCGAATTAATAGGCCGATTTACTTGTGAAGCTGTGGGATTAGTATAGTAGTTACAGTGTCTGTCACAGAAGTGGAAAACCTCAAACAGTATACAGGCATGTCTTTGAAGGTGTAGTTGTCTGAGAAGCAAACATTAGGGACCTTTAAGAATAAACCCAAAAGAATGGAAAAGGAAGGAATCATAAAATAATTAACAGACCCAAGTAGAGGATGTGTCAGTTGTATGAGTAGATATTATCAAGTATTTCCTCGGTAGAAAACCAACAAAGTATCTCATCAAGACTAAATTAAGAAATGTGCCATATACTGACAAGGTTGAGTGCAGTCTTAAATTCCAAAGGGGATGGCACTGGATTTCTGAGACGAACAATGGAAACGAGATTCTCTGAACGATCTTGAGTAAGCCTGGCTGCATGGAGAAAAGTGTGCCCAACATTGAGGAGTTCCTCGACTAGGTTAAAAATGAATGTGGTCACACCTTTAGGTCAAGGCTTCCATCCCTTCCCATTCTAAAGAAAGGCAATTCAGTTGATTGACTTTGTCCCAAATGATAATGATAACTACTGTAAACTGTTTAATTGAATTGTTTGTCCTAGGGGATAATTTCCCAAAGGGTTAATAGGGGGTGGTAATTGTCCCACTGGAAATTGCCCAGGGAGAAATTTTCCTGATACGCACAACTACACATACATTTTTCAGCACTAACATAATTCACATCTTCTTGTACTTGTCTCCATCAGTGTTCATGTATACGACAGGAGAAGTCTTATCCACACTGATAGCCTTCAAAGCCATTTTCTCGTCTTTCCGAATAACTTCATCATCTTGTTCAATGTCCACCTCGTCATCATCGTCATCCTCACCATCAATAACGTCGAAATCGTCAATGTGCTTGTTCATGTGCGAGCCGTTCTTCTTCATCAAGTACACGACGATCTTGTAAATGCCGATTACTAGAAACGAATCGATGTAAATGAAACATGCGTACAGGGAGGGGTAGAAGAGCATATCGAAAAATAACGGCGAATTCGCGAAGGTTACCACAGTCAGGGTCATGGCAAGAGAAACGTTCTGCGAACCGGTCTCGAAGGCAATGGTGCGGCACTTCTTGTGGGGCTGACGGAGCAGGAAGGCGATGCCGTATCCTAGAGAGTAACCTAACAATGGTAGAGATGCGGCGCAGAACCATAGTTGCCATACAGCGTTCAAGAACGTAGGATTGAGGATGAAACTCATCACAAAAGCAGCGATGATGCACATGAAAGAGAAGATGATCCCGACCTATACAAATCAGTAAGAAATTAAACACAATGACACCACATGTATAGAATCATCTCAATTCAAATGATGTGTATTAAATATCACACAAGTGTGTTTTGACCGAGGAGTGTATCATTTATATTGATCAGGGGAGGGGTGAAAGGAACACAGTATCACTGAAAAATGAAACACACCCCGAAGAATGTAGAAGTATTCTAATCGTCATGGATTGATTATTAAATTTGATGTTCCGCCATCTCCAGAACAGTTAACATATTTTTTATATGCAGTTTTCAAATATTTCGGCTACCCCAACTACCCCCAATGACAATTCTTGGTCAAAACCTGAGATGCGTACACTTTAACAGTATGTAGATAATTCGATTATATAATATATTATATTGTATTTTATTCTAATTACCACTAAATAACTGACAAAATATGGCGAGTTTCACGCAAGAAATCAAGCATTTTGGGATATTGCTGATAGACATTTCCTCCTTAGTATTTATTGCACGATAAATCAAACGAATAAGTAAATAAGTAAATTGCTGAATACAAGAGGTGGAAACATTACACTGTCCTCATGATCAGTGTTCCCTTATTCAAACGAGTTTTAGCCTGATGACGTAGGGGAAAGCACTTCTTTAGTATAGCGCTCTTTTTTTGCAAAAGACTTCGGAATAGGTTCGGCCATTCTCTACGATCGAGAATGTTAAGTTGAGCGCGGAGGAAAAAGCCAGTGGGGGAAAGTTTGATGATTGTCTGGTCGATCATTTGCCTAGACCCAATGCCACTGCGTTTCCTTGATCTTTCTTTGAGGGTTGGCAATATTAGTTAGTACAGTAATGCGGTCCAAGCACAATACGTGCCGTATTTGGATTCATCCTATCTGATATTTTTGTGTTTGTTTTCAGTTATCCCAGTATTAACGATGCCACTCTGGGGCCTAATATTCCCCGTAGACACATAATAGATCATTCGCTGGAACTTTAAATCCGTTCAAAATTCTGAGCATGTGTGGTATTGTGCCTGCTCACTTGATTATTTCATTAGGGACTTTTAGATTTGCACGTCGACAGCTTTGACTGTAACGTGTGACGTCATTTTAAGGCACTGCGCATGCGTTATGTCGTCTCAGTCGGCGATCCACAATGCGTCAACCTTGATTTTCCTAAATCTAGTACATGCTGAAAGGTACTAGTATGCCGCGTGCGCATAAAATATACAGTTCCTCAGGTAGACAAAGGAACATCCCTTTTCCTGTTATTATGTAAAAATGTGTAGAACAGGTGTCACATGCATATTCACCTGTTCTACACATATTTACATATTAGCAGTGAAGGGATGTTCTTTTGTTGAGGGTAGAATGAGGAACTGTATTTTTTGTCCTCTTTCTTTGTCAGTGATGTTTATTGTGTTACTTCCTGCATGCATATCGTCGAGTGCAATCTAAAAGATTTCTAATTGTAGCCAACATGGGCAGTTAAGTACGTTGACACGCATGATCAGTCGGCGTTCGTCGTGTTCTCGTCCACTCAATCTAAAAGTCCCTATTCACATGCCTTGACCTTTTCAGATTATTTTGAACCAATCCGGAAATCCGGACTGGATAGATATCACGTAGTCCCATATACATTTTTCTGTGTACAGTGATTGTAACTTAACCAAGACTGGGCCAAATTTCTTATCATTTTGATGATTCCAGAACCTTGCTGTATACACTAATATTTGTATGCTAGGTGATCAACCTGTTCTGATCGATCGATTCCACAACGTTTCTTTCACAATGCAATCGCATGACCGGAACTGGTCGATCTATACATTTAACGTCAACTAATAGCGTATACTGCTTTGTTAGACAAGCACATACCAACGAGATTGGAACCAAGTCGGCCAAACTCTGTTTATAGATGATTTGCTCTCCCTGAAATTTACCGCTCCCTTTTTTTCTTTCGGGAAGAGTGATTTTTCGAGAGAATAAATCAGTGGACTTTGCGCCATCTACGTGGGGGTAGATGAACAGCAGTTAAACCAATTTTTGCCATACAAGTAATCTCGACGTCCCACATTGCATTTATCATGTGAAAGATATACCAGAGGCTTCTAGTTTATTTTTTTAAAATTATTTCTAGAGCAAGATTTACCTATACAGGTGTTAAAATGGTTTTCAAGAAGGTAATTAAGACCAGAAATGGTTAATATTGCAAAGCAAACCCATCATTTGATTCCTAATATATGTTTTGAGAGAGAAAAAATGCGCGTGTGAGACACGAGGGACAGTGGAAAGGGGGTGAAACAAGGAATCGAAGTGTTAATAGACAACATTTTTTTTTCTTCAAGAAATAGGCAATAATAAACTTACCCTAGTGATATATTTGGTCCATTCTTTCCTCCACCAGCGGACAAACACCCCGAAAGCGACGGGAATGAGAATGCTAACCAAAGTGGTTACAATGTTGACATAGGGAATGACTGCTTTATCGTCGGTCCATACTCGGGAATAGATGAAGAGATTAAGAGGCATCATACCTATAGCAACCGTCGTGGACACCGCCGTCATACACACACTAAAAATGATAAAATACATGCATTATTCTTCATATCCCCCTATTTTATTGGTAATTTTTTTTTGGCTAGACAGAATGAGTGGTCATATAGGCAGTGATGTAGCGTGACTCCATCCACTGAGGGGGCATTGGAACGATTCTTTTATTTTCACATGGGGGGGGGGGGGGGCACCACCGGTCTTACTAAGAAAATAAAATGCAAATTTAAAAGATGGTCCAGGCGTCACCTTTTTATCATCACTTGAGAGTGAGAGAAAGGGAGAGAGGGGGAGGATAGTGCCCCCGTGTCCCCTTGTGTCCAACTGTATGTAAACAAACAGTACGTATCACAAATTATACAAGTAGAACTTTGATGATTAAAATTTATGATTAGTATATCAATATTTGTCACGATCGTGCGCTATGTTTACACCATTATTCACTTTTGTATTGTTTTCGTTATGGTTATTATTATTATCATTATTATCATCGTTTTTGTTATTATCATTATCTTCGTTGTTGATTGTCATGATTATTATAAATATTTTGTTGATGTTACTATACTACTAGTAGTACTACTATTGACATAATTATTATCATTATCGTCATTATTATCATTAGTTTCGGTATTGTTATCATAATTACTACTACATGTACTATCATCATCATCTTCATAGTTATGATCATCGTTGTCATTTTTAGATTCGATTCTCATTCCCAGCCCTTGATGCCAAATACAAATCTGAGCCTTTAGGAGCACTTATTGTTTAGTTTTGTTTTTACCTGAGGCAGACATCCCCTTTCGTCCAGTAAGTAAAAAGATTCGAGAGGGTGCCCCCGGGACAGCAAGCAAGAATGAGAAGCGATAGTGCCCCCGCGGCCTCCAGTCTAAAAGCAAGCCCGAGACAGAATGCGATGAGGGGCATCAGGACAAACTGACATAGCATCCCAACGAAGAAACCAGCAGGATGACGAAACTGCGATGGATACCGAAAGAAGTCTTCAATTCAATGTGCAATTATCAATAAACATGAATATATCATACCTACTTTTCTTTGAAGTGTCTATTAGCAAACTTTTACATTCACATTGTTTTCAGATTGGTCGTATAAAACTAAAGCTTGTACCAAAATACTTATTTTTGTAGGTGTGTCCTTTATCGATCTACCCCTTTCATATTCAATTTGACACACCTGGTTATATGATTACGGTTTGATATATTTTTATTTTACTAATTTCAGATTAGTAAAAGAATTCATTTGGGATATATTGCTCTTTGCAGGAGTGAGATTCAACAGCAACAGTAACAACAACAAAAAAGCAATTACTCTTTCCTTATGTTTATTCATGAATAATTTACATATATATTTTTTAGGATAGAAATGATGCGAGACAACCTTCGTGTAGAGTTTGTCACAAGGCGAACGGCAGTTATTTTAAACTTTTTGCAATCGGTTGATTTGGGTGTTTGGTAATCTACAGATTAATGAAATGCAGGCATCAAGATAGGAAGTAAAGAAAGACATCTAAGAACTGTATGATGGATTGCGGTGAGATATATTTCTGATTATTACACACAAATTTCTAGCCTGATCTAGAGGAAACAAACAGCGGAGGCAATGCAAACTGGAGGAATGGTATATTTACTAAGCTGGCTACAGTTCCCATGGTGAGGATATTGTGTCTTGTCATCAGTGAGTTTTAAGTAACGCTCACTCATCCCATTTTATAACATCAGGGCCACGTCTTTTAAAAAGTTGATATTAATCGCAGCTATGTACATAAGAGATAGGAGCCTTCTACAGACGTGTATCAATCAGATATTAATATTCACATCTTTATTTACGTCTTTAAGCCTCATACAATCTATCAGGCATATTTCAGATTATGAAAAATATCAGTTGTAGAAGAAATGAAATGTAGCAGATGTTGTTTGTACTAACCGTGCCTTTGAAGTCTTTGAGGTCAATAGTACATCCCATAGAGAGCATGAGAAAGGTCAGGATCAAGATGTTGATCACCTTGGTGGCTAACTTTATGGATGCAATGTTACTCGGTGCAGTGTGATTCCCTGCCACTTCTATCATCGTCGTCATCAGTGTAGTTATGGTCTCTCTTTCCATCTTGAAAGCACTGATGATTTTTTTTTTTCAGGCGAAAGAGCTATACAAGGAATGAGCGGATACAAAAAGAAAATGGTGTATCGATGGAGTTTTAACGTCGCTGTCGATTGTATCTAATGGTGCAGTATATCCAGTAGTTGGAAGGCAACTGAGGTGGGGGGGGGGGGGGGGTCACTGATCTTCATTCCAGTTCATCTAACATGTGATTACTGAGCCGTGACCGACACAAAACGTGGACATAGAAATCAGCACGTAACACTCAATTTACTTACCTGTCGCTGTCATCTATTCCAGGGAAGTAACAACTTCACGAGAAAGAAAAAAACGTTTTTAATAATATAGTTAGGTACATTAACAGGGAAATGGCATTCACATTTATTTCAAATGCTGATTTTTAAGTAAATTTTAATGCTAAACACAGTGCCACCAACTATTGAGAAAGTCGGTGCCAAAATTGCCTAAATTGTTTTGTTTTATGAGCCCACCAGAAACATAGTATTCAGTAGAAATACTCCAAAGTTGCTCCAAAAGGGCCCAAAATACCTGCAACTCTAGACAGTCAAGAGATCTACTTTTAACTATTTTCTGGGGTAATATGATCAATGTAAATATCTCCTTCGGTATCAAAATACAATGATAGATTGTGGGTATAGCGCTTTGATCGCCAACTATGTCTCAGTTAGAAAGAGATCCGACAGGAATCGAAAACGGAAACATAGCTTGACCATGGCCACAATGGAGTTCCCTTGAGCACGTTGAGTGTTGAATATTTCTGCTAGGATGAACAGAACCATTTAATTAGTGGCTCTCAACAGAGAAAACAGCCGTGTACTTTTTGAATAATCATTTGTTCATGTTCATATGTGTGTCCATATGCTTTTAAAACCCAAACCAGATCAGTCCGATCCAATATTATTAGGTGATCGGCTGCAGCGTAGCGTACCAGAGCATCTATTGATTTCGTCAGAATATCTCCTTTTACTAAGACTAGTCCCTCAAATTAGCTAAGTTTTCAAGGTTGCTGGTTCCAAACAATTTTGTGCTAAACAATGGCGTGGTGAACACACCAGCGCCAAACATTTAATTTTCCCTGCTCCAGCCCGTTGCTTGAATGTTGTCGCGGTGAACCTCACATGTAGGCTCTGTTGTTTGGAACCAGGAATGCTAGGTTCTCACTGTCGTGCGATCCGTTGCGAATCCCACGATGGGTCATTCGTAGCTGATCGTGGAACTTATCTGACATGTAATGTTTGGACACGAGGTGATGCGAGTCGATACGTTATGGTATGATTTGGTGCGCTTGGATGCGATAAGGTCACGATTGGTCAATTTAAGGTGACACGATCTGGTCTCCCGTTCACATATGATCATATACGTTCCGATGGGATTGTCCCGATTGAGTCCATGATTGGGTCTCAATGTGACACGTTCATCACGATCGGGTACGTGCAGATACGTTCAGATACCTTCGTTCATCAAGAACCGATGCGCACTTTTGCGGCAAGATACGATTGTGGTCGCGAAGTCTTTCACGATAAGGGTCCAGAGGGATCACAATTTGAGCTACGATTGGACCCGACGGATATATATACAGGCCGACTGACTATGTACTTCATCGTTTCTTGAACTTCTACAGAGTGAACACTACGACCCACAACCATTGATGAGTATGATGACAACGCGGCATTTGCAGTCTTACGGTATGCTTATATTATTACCAGAGAGGAAGAAGACGAGCAACAGCCAGACTAGCTACAACCCCAACCACAAATGGTCAGGAGAGCTGCAGCCAGGCAGTTCTGGGTGCGACCATGGCTCACAGAGGAGAGGACAAACAGTTTGGCCAGTTCTCCACCCTCCTAGACACGTTATTAGGGCTGGAAGATCCACTAGCGTTCCAAAACTACACAAGGTTAACACCAAAGCTCTTCGATGAAGTCTTGCAGAGAGTGGCCCCAGCAATCGAGAGGGAACGCACCAGTTTCAGGCAACGCCTCTCACCTAGCTGGACTGAAACTGGCAGTGACACTGAGGCATCTTGCCACTGGAGACAACTATCGGTCCCTTGCGTATGCCTTCAGGTGTGGAGTGTCCAGTGATGGTTTCAGAAGTGTGCCAGGCAATTGTTCAAGCGTACAAAGATGAGGTGTTTAGCCTACCTGTGACCCCTGAAGCGTGGACAGCCATAGCTAACCAGTTTGAGCACAGATGGAACATCCCCATGCCGTTGGGGGCCCCTGGGTGGCAAACACATTGCTATCAAGAAACCCCGCCACACTGGCGCCCTGTAAAAGGGCTTCTTTTCAATACCACTCCTGGCTCTGTTGGATGCAGATTACAAGTTTTGTGTGGATCGAGCTTGGTGGAAAAGGACACATGTCAGATGCTCAGATATTTGGCGACTCTGAGCTGTTCAACGACCTGGAAGAGGAACCCCCTAGGACCCCCACCCTGCCTTCTGACTGTAAGCCCTGATGACCTCCAAGACATGTCTTCTTCATCCTAGGGGATGACGCCTTCGCACTTCGAACTACCTCCTGAAGCCATACGGCAGAAGAAGGGTGGCCAGGGAGGAGAGTATTCAACTACAGACTATTAAGGGGGAGAAGAGTGGTGGGAAATGCCTTTGGGATCCTGGCCAATAGATTCAGGTGTCTCCTCAGGACTCTAGAGCAGAATCCCAACACTGTGAAGGATATGGTTGAGGCGGCAGTGGTTATGCACAACCTACTGAGGCAGAGGCATCCAGGCATTGCAGCACAAGAGGTGGACCAAGGGGCTGAAAAAATACGATGTTATCCAAGGAGCATGAAGGGACCATATATGGATTGGCTAAATGTGAATCAACCTCCTGCACCTCGCAACTCAGCTATTATATAGTAGATGCAAAGCATCAGAGGGAACTCCTGAAGGCCTTCTTCAACTCACAACAATGTGTGGTCGCATGGCAGGAAAGGATGGCCGGGGTTTTCGGCATTAAATTGCGGTCAAATGAGCATCCATTGGCCCGCCTTAGGGCCCCTTGTAGAGCCAAAGGGGCTACTTTCACAGGAGAGTCGTGAGACAGCTGCAAGATTGTCTCACGAGAATTACATTTTTTCGAGGCTCGCACAACATTGCGAGTCTGTCGTGCGTTAGCCTTGCAACACATTTTCGTTTTTTGAGGGGCATATAGCTCTGGCAACAGTCCACAGGCCTCATTAGGGAGTTTTCGCAAACTCATTGCGGACAGAGAATCTGCGGTTCGTGTGCAAAATCGAGAAGCTACTATAGTAACAGCAGGGTGACCGCTGAGGTACTGAAATCCAGAACGGGTTTTGGCCAAATCTACGGGCGTTCTCAATGACGCCCCAAGTGAATCAAGTGCCTCGATACAGAATCCAATCTGCATACATTAGTTGTTGCCACACTTAATACATGCAGTTTGCATTCTGACTATTACGAATCCTAGACAGGTGAATGAAATAATTTGTATTGAGGAACTTCACAAAGACGTATGTATTAAATTTGATTACATTACGAAAATGGCCTGTTTCCCTTCCACACAATACAGTACAGATGGGACTACACGACTAGCACAACTTGTCTCGACCAAGCCACAAAACGGCTTTTTATCAAATTTCAACAATTTTATCATCAAGTTTTAAAACAATTCATGTTATATCCATATTCATGTTGTTATTGTTTAGAAACAATAATCGGAAGAAAAAAAACTCACCGAAGAGTCATTCGTGTCAGGGGCGGATCAAGGGAGGTTAGGAGGTTTAAACCCCCCCCCCCCCCCTTGGGCTGGCCCAGGTGCTTTCTACCCCCCCCCCCCCGAAATATAGGTTGGCACTTTTTTCAAATTGAAAACAAATGTTAGTGCCCCCTACCCCCCCCCCCCCACTAAGCGAAATATTGGTTGGTGCGATTTTTCAAATGTCAACCCCCCCCCCCCCCACGCCATAGAAGCTAGATCTGCCCGTCGAAATTCGTCATCCTTCTTTATTAGACGACGAAATTCTCATCACCATCTTTGGTACAAGCTCGCTGGTTGGATGTTTATTCACTTGGGGCGTCTTTGAGAACGCCCGTAGATTTGGCCAAAACCCGTTCTGGATTTCAGTACCTTAGCGATCGCCCTGCTGTTACTATAGTAGCTTCTCGATTTTGCACACGAACCGCAGATTCTCTGTCCTCAATGAGCTTGCGAAATACCCCTAATGTTTGTCGAACTGGCAACAACTAATGTATGCAGTTTGGATTCTGTCTATTGAAATACTATTATCCTTATCAGGTGAATGAAATAGTTTGTATCGAGGCACTTCACAAAGACGTATGCATTAAATTTGGTTACATTACGAAAATTGCCTAATGGCAAATCAATACCTCCGTAGAGATACGTACGCATTCACCGAAAAGCGAAACCACGTATTGTATCGAGGGCGGTCTGTGTGCGACGGCCGTAAACCTGAGTGCTCTGCGTCCTAGAAGGTCTGTCCGTTGCTGAGCGAAAACTCGCTATTATATAGTCGGGTGACGGACGCGCGAGCGTCCCTCGTGCATCCCACGAATGAACCACGACCCGATCACGTAAAAAATAGCCCCCCCCGAAAATACCCGACAAATCACGATGGTCCCACGACTGTCGCACGACTGACAAACCCACGACGTGACATTTTTTCTGACGCGCCCCTATCGCCAAAACGTCTTTAGTGTGTCGTTGCTTTTGTCCCCACTCGAAAAAAGATTTTGGGCGTGATGTAAAATCTGGCTTAGACATATGGGTCTATCACGACAACATTTCGTACGATCCGTTGTGACCGAGGCTTATCCTAAACGACGAGCGAATATGACGTTAGCTCTTCGGTACTCTTTTGATTTTGTCATAATCTATTTTTTCTCCCTTTCTTTCTGTAATTTTTTTCCCGCTTTATATCTCATGAATGACATGATTAATGACAATGAATTTGTCATAACATATATATATGGTATATGCATGATTATTGATCCTAATCAGGATCTTCTTTTTTTTAATTACTGATACGTGTT